GTGGAACATGTGGGAGCCAACATGGGTATCCAGATCCCGCTGTTGGTTATTGACCGGAGAACGTCTCGGTCATGTCTGCGTGATTCCCGAACCCGTAGGGTCTACACACTTAAGGTTCAATGACGCTAGGGTTATAAAGGAAGTTTGTATGTGGTTACCGAATGTTGTTCGAAGTCCCGGATGAGATCCCGGACGTCACGAGGAGTTCCGGAATGGTCTGGAGGTAAAGATTTATATATGGGAAGTCCTGTTTTGGTCACCGGAAAAGTTTCGGGTTTTATCGGTAACGTATCGGGACCACCGGGAGGGTCCCGGGGGTCCACCAAGTGGGGCCACCAACCCCGGAGGGCTGCATGGGCCAAGTGTGGGAGGGGACCAGCCCCAGGTGGGCTGGTGCGCCCCCCCACAAGGGCCCAAGGCGCCTAGGGTTTGGGGAGGGGGTGCTTCCACCTAACTTGGGGGGCAAGTTTCCCCTCTTCCCCCCCTTGGCCTCCACCCTTAGATGGGATTGGGGCTGCCGCACCCCTTGGGGTGGAAACCCTAGAGGGGGCGCACCCCCTCCCTCTCCCCTATATATAGTTGAGGTCTTGAGGGCTGCCAACACATGAGTTTTCTCTCCCTCTTGGCGCAGCCCTACCTCTCTCCCTTCTCCTCTCCCGCGGTGCTTGGCGAAGCCCTGCAGGATTGCCATGCTCCTCCACCACCACCACGCCATTGTGCTGCTGCTGCACGGAGTCTTCCTCAACCTCTCCCTCTCTCCTTGCTGGATCAAGGCGTGGGAGACGTCACCGGGTTGTACGTGTGTTGAACGCGGAGGTGCCGTCCGTTCGGCACTACGATCTCCGATGATTTGGATCACGATGAGTACGACTCCTTCAACCCCGTTCTCTTGAACGCTTCCGCTTAGCGATCTACAAGGGTATGTAGATGCACTCTCCTTCCCCTCGTTGTTGGTTTCTCCATAGATAGATCTTGGTGACACGTAGGAAAATTTTGAATTTTTGCTACGTTCCCCAACACCACCTCCCCTCTATTTATAGGGTCAAGGGAGAGGGGGGCCGGCCCCCTCCAGATGGATCTAGAGGGGGGCGGTGGCCAAGGGGGAGGCTTGACCCCCAAGCCAAGGGGGGCACCCCCTTTAGGGTCCTCCCCCCTCCCCCAACCCTAGGCGCATGGGCCCTAGGGGGGTGGCGCTCAGCCCACTTAGGGGCTGGTTCCCCTCCATATTCAGCCCATAGGGCCCTCCGGGGCAGGTGGACCCTCCCGGTTGACCCCCGGAACCCTTTTAGTGGTCCCGGTACAATACCGATATACCTCCGAACATTTCCGGCAACCAAATAAGGACTTACCATATATAAATCTTTATCTCCGGACCATTCCGGAACTCCTCGTGACGTCCGGGATCTTATCCGGGACTCCGAACAACATTCGGTAACCGCATACTAATTCCCATAACAACTCTAGCATCACCGAAACTTAAGTGTGTAGACCCTACGGGTTCGGGAATCATGCAGACATGACCGAGACATCTCTCCAACCAATAACCAACATTGGGATCTGAATACCCATGTTGGCTCCCACATGTTCCACGATGATCTCATCGGATGAACCACAATGTCGAGGATTCAATCAATCCCGTATACAATTTCCTTTGTCAATCGGTATGTTACTTGCCCGAGATTCGATCGTCGGTATCCCATTACCTCGTTCAATCTCGTTACCGGCAAGTCACTTTACTCGTTCCGTAATGCATGATCCCGTGACTAACTGCTTAGTCACACTAAGCTTATTATGATGATGCATTATCGAGTGGGCCCAGAGATACCTCTCCGTCATACGGAGTGACAAATCCCAGTCTCGATTCGTGCCAACCCAACAGACACTTTCAAAGATACCTGTAGTGTACCTTTATAGCCACCCAGTTACGTTGTGACGTTTGGTACACCCAAAGCATTCCTACGGTATCCAGGAGTTGCACAATCTCATGGTCTAAGGAAATGATACTTGACATTAGAAAAGCTTTTAGCAAACGAACTACACGATCTTGTGCTATGCTTAGGATTGGGTCTTGTCCATCACATCATTCTCCTAATGATGTGATCCCGTTATCAATGACATCTAGTGTCCATGGTCAGGAAACCATAACCATCTATTGATCAATGAGCTAGTCAACTAGAGGCTCACTAGGGACATATTGTGGTCTATGTATTCACACATGTATTACGGTTTCCGGTCAAATACAATTATAGCATGAACAATAGACAATTATCATGAACAAGGAAATATAATAATAACCATTTTATTATTGCCTCTAGGGCATATTTCCAAAAGAGTTCGCTTCACTGGTAGTAACTCTCGTCACGTGTTGATGTCCCTTTTCTCATACACGTAGTATATTTTTCATATACGTCTAAAGCATTTTTTATAAAATGTTTAACATTTTTTTTATTTTAAAAAATATGGTTTGAACTTTTTTTTCAAACACCTGTTATTTTTTCAAATATAGATTTGAACATTTTTTATTGATAAAAACAATATTTCTGAACTATGCAAACTTCTATTTTTACATTGTACACACATTTTTCTTGAAAATGTCCTGAACACATTTTTGAAACCTGCTAACGTTACATCTTTAAAAATGTTAGCAAGTTTCCGTTTTGTGGGAAAAAATAAAATTGTGAACATCTTTATAAATATAAAGGAAAGAAACTTCTGAACATTTTTGTAAATCTAACCTACATTTTTTAATGTACGAAACATTGCTTGAATTACATGAACTTATATTTTACAATGTATAAACCTTTTTCTTACACATGATTTTTTTTTCATACACATGGTGAACATTTTCTACATTTTTTTATTCACAGTTGTACATCTTTCTTGACATCAAAAACATTTTTATATCAACGTTTAAGATTTTCCAACTACAAGATTATTATTTTTAAAATTTATGTAAAACATTTTTTCGTATATACATTTAGAATAATTAGAAATTTAAATAAAATAAAGAAAATTAAATGAAAAATATGAATAAAATGGGAAGGAAAAACAAAAAACAAAAGCAATATGACGTCAACAGATAAGCCGTGGCTATCAGAGCTGGCCATACTTGCCGGCACGACCAGGCCCGTCCTAATCGGGCCTGGCATGGCATGGCTCGCCGTGGCACAATCATTAGTCGGGTCGTGTCATTCCGGCCCGTGTGTTGTGTCCTCCAGCCCATGCACGACCTAGCTACTAAGCGTGCCAGCCCATGGCATGTTTAGCAGGCTAGATTGCACGTTTTCTAAAAGCCACGAGCAAAATGTTGAACTTTTTTAAAAAGTGCAAATATTTTGTTTTATTTAAAAAAAATTAAAAAAATGATTTTTTTAAATTTCTGAACAATTTTCAGAAACAAGAATATTTTTCAAAAACTTAAACATCTTTTGCATTTATGAACCTATATTTAACATGGATTTTTTTGAATTACTGTTTTTTTAAAAAAATTGGAAAACACGAACAATCTTTGAATCTATGATTTTTTTAAATAGAAACTTTTGCTAAAAATTATGAACAATTTTTTAGAATGCCAATGTATTTTTTAAAACTCAAAAACTCCTATAATTTATGAATAAATTTGAAAATTGGGAAAACAATTAATTTCTGAACATTTTTTTGAAAAACACAAACATATTTGAAATACGCAAACAGTTTTTGCGTCTATGAACAAATTTGAAAAAACGAGCACTTCGTCTAATACCTACTCCTTGGAGGCGAAATCATCAAGTAAGGAGTACTCCTTCTAAAGATCACTCTCACATTTCCAGGTCAAGACAATTGGCGCACTGCATGTGCCACTTGTAGCAACCGGTGAGTTTTCTTTTTTTTCGTAGATTCATTTACTTCAAAACGTTCTATCTCATAAACCGTGCGTCCAAATCTCGAACCGTTTTCACCGTTGGATTCCTCACAACGAGATCTTCAAAACTAGAAAAAATGTTGGTAGGTTTTGACGAACTTTTTTTTCATAATAAACCGAAATGGGAGCACTTTATTTTTCTTTCCCGAAAACCGTTTCCGAGATGCACGACCGTGTCTCTCGCGAAAGCAAAACCATGTCTCTCACGGAAGGAAAAAAGAAAAAAAAATGTTTTTTTCCGTTTCTGAGAGGCACAACCGTGCCTCTCGAGTAAGCAAAGCCATGCCTCTCACGGAAGGAAAAAAAAGGAAAACACATTTTTTCCGTTTTCGAGAGGCATGGCCATGCCTCTCGACTAAGCAAAATCATGCCTCTTGCAGAAGCAAAACCGTGCTTACAGAAAAAAGAATAAGAGAAAACATGTTTTTTCGGTTTTGAGAAGCACGGTTGTGCCTCTCGCGGAAGCAAAATCATGCATGCTACTCGCGGAAGCAAAACCATGCATGCCTCTCGTGGAAGTAAAACGTGCCTCTCACGAAAAAAATGTATTTTTACGCACATTGTTTTTCTTTCGAAAAGCTAAGAAAGACCGGCGAAAAACCGAAAAGCCGAAAAAACCATGGAAATATCATCTGAAAAGCCGAGAACGCGTGCGTAAAAATACAAAAATAAAATCCGGAGGGAGTCCTGAGAGCGCGACACGTGACGGCGGCTGAGAGCGCGCCAAGTCTTTTCTTTTAAGACAACGAGAGCGCGCCAGGTGATTGCCAGAGGCTCCAGAAGCTTGCTCTCCAAGGCGAGCACAGTTTTTTTAGGCGAGCACAGTTGGGCTCGCATTGTGCTACATTGCAAATATGGGCCAAGGAAACCGGTTGGACCCATGTACCCCCAATGGTCCAAACGGCAGGGTCTTGGCCCAGTCTAGGCCCACCGGAGACCACCAGAGGGCACCAAAACCCCACAGGAGTCAAGCCGGTCTCTTCTCTTCCTCCTACCGTCGCCCCAGTTTCTCTTCGCTCCTCTCCTCTCCGTCTCCCCAAATCCATCCTAGGGTTTTACTTTCCCCTCCGACAAGGTTTTACCCCCGCGCCCCGCCACCATGACCGCCGCCGAGCTGCAGGCGGAGCTGCTCCGCGCCCAGCTCGAGGACCACGACATCGAGGTGATCCTCCCTCCATTCCGACCCTTCCTCCCCCTCCCCCTCTCCGATTTGGTGCCGTGTCGAGCAAAAATCTTCGCCTCCCATGCTTGCTCGGGCCCCGGATCGGCGCGTTCCGTTGCGGTGGTGGTGCTAGGGCGCTAGATCTCGTCCGTCGATGTCGCCTAGGTCGCACAGCTTTGGTCGGAGAGCTGCGCCGTGGCCAGCCTGCGCGTTTGTCCAACTTTCTGCGCATCCTCTGGTTTTTCGCGGAGAAGCAGGCGAGGCCTGGCCTCCGTGAACCTCCGCCGTGGTAGCTGGAGGCGCGGTGTGTTTCACTATTCTTGTGCGGAATTCGTGCTTGCTTACTTGTGCGGCTACGAGTTTAATTTCAGAGTCTGGTAATGCCAGTATATCCTTTGGTCTTTGTTGTTTTAGGCCTTGTGGGTTGTGACTTGTTTGTCAGTTGCCCTTGTTATGTACGGTTTGTGGTTCCCTTTCTGGGAGATCTCTAGTGCTGCAATCTGAAATGCTGCTGCTTTGTCTTGTCGATCCAAATCTGAAAGGAATTTTAAGCCAGCATGGATAAATCAGTCACCTTTGGCGATTGCTACAGTAGAAATGTGACTTCCTTTGTTAATTAGCTTTGGAAATCAGTTGTGATCTAAGTATCATGTGTGCAATTGTGTATGCTTATATGATGTATGGCATATTTCCTGTACCAACAATATAAATTTGTGAGCACAGCTTCTGTTGTCAATGCAGACAACTGTTCCTTGTAATGCACATACTCTTCCTCTTTTTTGCTTTTGGAGTTCATTTCTGTCTATCTTGTGCTGATGCTACTTAGAATGTACTCACATCATCATGCTGGAAAGATAATACTGTGGGTAAACCATTTACTGTTTTTTCATTTCTGAATGTGGCTAACTCTGCTTTCCCCTCCTCTGCATATCCTCTGTTCTGAGGGAGTGCTACTGAGTGTTTAATACTTTGACGTTCAAGTTATATGATATTTGTAATGCACACTCTCAGGGAGATGAGCCTATCGTTGAGGATGATGATGACGACGATGAAGACGATGATGAGGATGAGGATGAAAAAGATGACGATGACGTTGCGGGTATGATGAAATTCTGCTGTTCCTTCTATTCAGTTCAAGTAGCCACTTAGTTACAGATAAGCCCATTTCATATTGTAATGCTGCCTTCTAAGTTCCAACATAAATTTAAACATGAGAAGTTATTGCCCATACCCAAATTTTAAACTAAACGTTGCTTATTCAACTCCTGAATCAATGGATTTGTTTCTATTGGGCTAAATTTTGGCATTTCCATAATAAAGAAATTGTTTCTGATCTGTTCCTCAATGATACAAGCTCTGTACTTACCTATATTGGTTCACTTTGACCTGAAGATTAGGCACTGACCAGTTTGTACTCTCTAATATTCTGTTCTTTCTGTACCATCACTATGCCTTTGTGGTTTATATTCTCAATTCTTTGGAATCATATCATATTCACTTATGCCTGAATTATTTAGTTCTGTACTGAGGTGGCACCTTGTATCAATTTCAACCTGCATTAACATATACATGAATGTTCAACTATAGCATTTACTTTCATATAGGAGCAAATCATGAATGTAAAATCTTGCTTTTGCAAGTATAATCGTACTAGGTGAACCATTTCAATGCATTAAGTATGAACTGATGCTGGAATTTCCATTATACAAGTAGCTAATGCTTTGCACCTTACCCTAAGAGGTATATCTTGTTCAAAATTCAAAACTCGATAATGTGTAACAAGAAGGCTTGATCGCAGTCACAGTTTCTGTTCAGTCTTGCTTGAGAAAAGTTTGGTGTTGTATGAATGTCACACTTGCCATTTCCAATTATTACAGATAATAATCCATGAAGTGAACTATGTTTGGTGTTGTAGAATTCTGGTCTTGTGCAAAATTTTGAAAATCTGACATTGTGCGTCTGTGCTTTCTGGCACTAGGAGGTGATGCTAGTGGAAGATCTAGGCAGAGTAGGAGTGAGAAGAAGAGCAGGAAAGCCATGGAGAAGCTTGGCATGAAGGTCATTACTGGTGTGAGCCGTGTAACTATCAAGAAGAACAAGAGCGTGAGCATCTTTGCCACTTCATGCCATTGTTCCCTGTAGCATAATTATATGCTGTTGGTTGTTGCATTTTCTTAACTTCTCCACACAATTGCAGGTTATGTTTGTCCTCTCCAAGCCAGATGTCTTCAAGAGCTCAAACTCAGATACCTACGTCATGTTCGGGGAGGCCAAGATTGAGGACCTGAGCACTCAGCTGCATTCACAAGCGGCGGAGCAGTTCAAGGCGCCGAGCCCAAGCAGCGTCATCTTGAAGGGCGAGCCGTCCATGGCAGCAGCCCATGACGACGAGGAGGTTGATGAGACTGGTGTTGACAAGAAGGACGTTGAGCTCGTGATGATGCAGGCCTCCGTGCCGAGATCCAGGGCCGTGAAGGCGCTCAAGGCTGCGGGCGGTGACATCGTCAGCGCCATCATGGAGTTGACTAACTAGGTAGGTGCCCAAAGGTGGAATTGTGTCCTGATAATAGGGTCTTGGATAGCAAAGCAGTCTTTTGGTATGCCATCTTGAATGTTGCAGTTGCGGGATTGGAGGTTCTGTCTCTCTGTTGAAACTAGCACTGGGATGTAGGTTTCGTTGGCGTTTTAAACATCTGATGATCACAAACTGCTTGCTCTTTATGGGAAATATCTGATTCGACTGTGCCAAATTTTGCTACAACTGCATGTCACTCTGTTTTGAGACAATATGTTCGTTCTAGTTAGCTTTTGAATTTTATTCCAGATTACAGCAACTGTGAGATTTTGAGATGAATTTCCTGTTTGTTTGGCCACATGGATCAAAATAAGTGGGCTCCTTCATCTTGCGATAGAGCTGGAGTCTGTCATTGTTGTGTTGCAGCTTTGCCGGCGAGGATTTGCTGTCGCTGACAAGAGGAACACCTTCACAAGTCCTGGGATATGTTTGGATCTTGACCAAAGTGTAGCTTATCAAAGTTCTGTGCTATGACTAAAACATGGATTTATAAATGGATAGTTGCCAAGTTTTTTGTCATAATAATACCTTTTTGTGAACCCTAATTCGTTTTTCTACCAATGTTCTAACTTAGTGGGTAACAAAATTTCTACCAAATTTCTGGCTAGGTCGTGTTTGGTCTGATTCGTGCAAATGCGTTGTTTTTCCTTTTCAGTTTCGACGCTGAGTTGTGATTGTATTACTTGAAAGAATAGAACTGTGCTGGTTGCCTGCCTGCTTTTTGTGCTGTGTGACTTTCTATGTCTTCTGCTGGTTCGGTTCCGCCCATTTTTCTTGCCCGTTCCCTCTGTCCATTCGTCTTGCCTCGTGCGCCCCTCTCTCAAGCCTCGACTACCTTATGCACCCCCACCAGCTGTTGGCTAGGAGCGGCACTGCGATTCCAGCGACCATTGATGCATCGTCCTATGGGTAGGTACACTCCCTGTCCGCATTCTCCCTCTTTGCTCGCGTATTGTAAAAATCTAGGTCTCGATCCTGAATGCGCATAAACCCTAGGTCTTCATGAGGCGTGGTTGCAGTTGAGAGGGAAGAGAGGCAAAAAATTGTTTCATCCTTCATCCAGTTTGTACAACTTGCAATTTCTGGTCCACTTTTAGTTTCTGTATGTGGCTATCTGGCTATGGAGTGGTTTTAACTCATACCGCAATATCTTGTGTGAATACATTAGTGCTGCCCATGCCTTTCCTCCTCGCAAATACTTCGTTACTGCTCTTGGCTAAGAAACATCTGATTCTTTGAGATGATGTGTTTCCATATGCCTCCCATTCATATGTCATAAAGGATTGCATTGGTCCAACACATTATTTATTGTCACTGCACTCTCTTGCTCAGGAGCCTCGACTTTGTTCGTGTTTGTTTGGCTACTAGCACTATCCCTATAACATAGTTAGAGGCTACAAAGGGAATATAGAGAGCAGTGCATCCTTTATAAGCTTCGATCATGCTTACACAGAGGAAGGTTGGTGAGCACATTAGCTACCCATCCATTAATTTTGTGCCCAAGTCCTAGAGTCTACTTCGTTCCCGAGCCTTAATTTCAGTGGCAAGTGGAGGCTGGAAATGACATGCCATCCATCTTTGCATTGATAGAATAGCCTAATCCATTCTTTCTTCTTTGTAGCCTCTGTTTTCCTTTGTAAATCTTATCCCCATGTCAATTAACTCCAAGCCGAATTCAACATACCATCTTGCACAATAGAAAATCTTAACATGATGGTGCTTGCTAGGTGAAACTTGTAGTTAGCATTTGTCGTTGGCGGGTTTGGAGCCTTCAGTTCTGTCATCGTGTTTTTAGCGTCTCCATTGGTGTGACATATTTTAATAGAAGGAAGCAAAAGGTTTTTACAAGAAGCTCATCCCCATTACCGTCAATAGGCTAGAGCGCACGTGCACACACGCACACAAGCACACACTAGTTACTCTTTAAGATTTGACTCCCCACCTCCATGGCCAACTTCTATCGGTGGAATCAATCCAATAAATGGTAGAGTGAGGTAACCTCATTGATCCGTTGATGCATATTACCAACCACTCAAGCGTTCCTCTATTTCCAAAGAATCCATGCAACCGAGATCACGAGCATGTGACAACCTTTTATGTAAATATTGGGCAGCAAGCCTCTCGATCGAACCCACAAATCTTCAAGAGTTTTGTCAGTGTTTGGTGCAATGGTAGAAGGGTAGACTTGTATCAAGAATGCTTACCTGATCCTCATCTTGAATTGGAGGTTTTATTCGTGTTTCATTTCAAACTATTGGCATGTAGGTTTTATAGGCCTTTTAATGTCTGATTATGTGTTCTAGTGGGAATGTAAATTTGCAGTTTCATAACTTTATGACTTTTGTTTTGAAATGCAGGTTGCATTGCTTCTCCATGTGTTTGAAAATGTCATTTTACCTTTTGGATTTCTTCCCAACTTCAAGTATTGTTGTATGCCGAGACAACTTTTCAGTACCCTCCTCCCTTCAAAACCGTAAATTTTTCAGAATACTTGATGATCATATACTATATTTTTCATTATGGAAATTTACATAGAATGATGGGAAAATTGAGGATTATCTCCGAGTAGTCTTTGAAAAGTCAAGGAGCCTTGTAATCTGCATCTACGGTGACAAGATTGTGGGGAGCCGACACCCGCACTCTATATCTCTCCGCCGAGTTGGCCCCTCCATTTCTCTACCCTACTAACCTTAGCAACATAACTCCTCCAATGGTCTGTTCCACTCGTCTTAGTATTGCGCTAATATTTCCTAGTGGCTCGGAAATGCATGTGTGATGTTGAGCTGTTTCTACACCCATGTTGATTGTTGTAAGTAATGTTTTCTTGCTATCCGAAGAGTCTCGACCGCGTTCAACTTAGTTTGGGTGCTAGTACTGTCCTGATAAGATAGGCATGGCACTATAGAGGTAGTGTATCCTTTATAAGGGTGGGTCATGCTTACATCTGCAAGGTTGGTGAGCGCGTTAGCTAGCTATCCATTCATTAACCCCATACAAAAAAATATTACTTGGTACAACTAAAAATTTCAATATTAAGGTGCCTCATATCAATGGTTCCGCGTCTAATGAAAACTCAGAGCTATCTTTTAAATGATATAGCCAAGTGAGATAATAAGTTAGTGATTGTTGGTGGCCAATGAGGTTTCCGTGTCACTGGCAGGTGTGGCAGCACCAGTGCTGGGGTGAGTCTAGTCTAGCTGTGGTTCCCCGCTACCTGGGGTACCTGCATCTTTGTTCCAATTTTTTGTCTTCAAATGAAATGCATGTCATTCATGTCCAAGGTAGTATGTAATTCTACATTTGTGGTTTCTTAGAGTGATGTTTTGGTCCTTTCTTGGAATGTTGCTAACATGGGCATGCCAACTTGCCAATCAAGTTCATTTTTTACATTACCCCTGAACCAGTGCCTTGTGAGGGGATGCACCCTGAGATGAGAGAGAGAACTAATGTTTGAAATAGTGTTTCTATGGCAGCGCCAAAAAATAGAGCGGGGACTAAGACACTCGCTCTCTATCCATTGATCAGGGCTGAGGAGGTAGAGCGGCAAACATTGATCCATTTTGTACACAATAAACTTCCTTTGTTTTTCCTTTAATTCTCGGTCCACCTTTATCTTGGTGGTAGTTTTGATCTAATATGCACTGCTGGGCCTTAGAGCA